AGTGTGTGGTATAATAATAATAATAATAATGATATTTCGCTTTTATTCCAGAAAAATTGATTATTTTCTCAGGATGTGTCTAATCAATATCTTTGTCCTTCTGGACACCTTTTGGGCAATAGGTTGTTGAATTTTCCACTGCCAATCAGAGTTCCTTGATGCCCATCCTTTCCAGACATCTGGTCATCTGTAACGAGTGAAGAGGGAAGGTGTTGATGAAAGTCTACAGCAGGCTGTTGGAAATGCTTTTGGCGACGCCTGCACCGTATGTCTGAACAATATAGAAGCACTGACTTGACATTAGTGTTAAAAATCTTTATCATATCCCTTGTGCTGAGTGCTACTGATTTACAAACTGATTTCAGCGTTATGAACAGCCTGTATATTTCGTGATGATACTGAATTCTTATTAGGCACAACTTTGGTGTAAATTGGTAATAGCGTTTTCATCATACAAAATACTATGGTAAAATAAAGCAGTGAATGAAAAGAAAACCTTTTGTTACTGCCTATGCTATCAATCTAAGGCAGAGAACTTTATCTTGCTACATTCTGGGCATCTTCATTATTGATTCTGACTCATTTATATCAAGTAGCTCAAGCTTCTCATAACTTCTATTTGTTTGAAAATAATTTATATATTTATCACTTATTTATTTACTTTTATCTGATAGCGTCGTATACTGGATCTAGTTCCGGTGATGATGAAGTAGAGAGTCAACAACGTGAAAATCCAAGAGAACGTTATATGAAGCCTGGACTAAGAGCTGTAAGTTATAGTTGTACACCTTATTTTTGTATTTCGTATACCTTCTGAAGTGAGAATTATTTTTGGTGTTTTGTGGTAAAAAATTATGTTATCTTACAACAGAAAGTATACAATAACGCCTTCTTTGATTGGTGTTTCTCTAAGCTGTAGAGCTAAGGATACATTACTCGACTGTATTTCCATTTGTTGTCTTCCGTGTGCTATCAGAATAAAAGATTACTAGATACAGAAACAGTCTCACCTGATACACACATTGATTACAGCCTGGCTACAATTGAAAGTGAGTTCAACTATCAGCAAAGTGGCTTCTAACGTGATAAGAATAAAGGTGTTTGTAGCCTTGAAGCACGCGTCGTTTCTGTATGGAATTTTTCAACTTTCTGTTTACCAGTGGATAGATAACAAGTTCAATAAAATGCGCATAAAATCGAACAGTGCTTACTCAGACAGATTGAAAGCAAGTGTATGTCAGATGTGAACAACAGCTGCATTGGATAATAATTGGAGGTTGTTCTAGTTAGTAGGGTCACTGATAGCTAGAAGCATGGTCTGTTAGCGAGACAGTCTGAGAGACAGCTGGCACGACCATTAACTACATATGGGGACTGTTGGGAAGCTGACAGTGATCCTTGGGGAACTGTCTAGTAGTTGGCCCATGGGGTCAGTATCTATTGCCTTTAGTTATAGTGATTTATTATAGTCGGTAACTACTGATCTAACAAGCAGAGCGATGGTTCAAAAGGAAATACTGGTACCCATTTTCCATAAGGCACACTTTTCAGACAACTTTACTCCGGCACTTTCCAAAAACGGTGGTCAGATTACATTCGGGGGACTGATGAGACTTTTTGGGAAAGTAAATGCGATTGAAACTGTCATATAGTATTCATTGCACCTATCTGTAAAAGATGCCTACATAATGCTTCTGGTAATCATCAAGGTAATAATCTGTTACCATTTGCATCTAAGATACTAACTGCTATCGGGCTCTGTTGGCTTTGATAAACGGGAAAAATTAATGAGTAGTGAGCATGCTGTTTTCGTTCAGATGATTTATTTGTCAATTATGTGTTCACCCTTCGTCAGTTGTTACATCTTCATCATCATCCCCCACATTCAAGGTCAACGGTTGTATCTCTTAATTGTAGGGCTCTCTTCCATTCATTGAACAGGACAGTCTGGAATTTTCGCACCTTCTCTGACGCGAATATATATTGTGAATATCATCTCAGTTGTTTCTATGCAGTTCCCTATTTGCTATTGTTGGGACAAGGTAAAAGAATGTCCACAAACTTTCGTTTCCTTCTCACACCATCTCCTCCATGTCACCCTTTGTTGCCTGATTCGTTGTTTCCCATCTGGGTCCCATTCAAGATTACGTCTCGTGCGTGATATCACTTAACGGTTTACTCAGTGTATGTGCAATGCATCACTATTTCCTGTATAACTTCTGAGTTGTTACACCTCCTACAATTCATTGGGAAGTAGTTCACCATGACGTATATTTTAGCACCTGTCTTCCAGACAATGTTTCTCAGTTTCGAATCCCACTCCATCTACTTTTAGCTTGGGAGGCTAGATAGTATCACCAACGTTGCCCAATGAGTATGGCTGATAGTAAATGAAAAATACATTCAAGGCCAATAAGTTCTAACCGAAAAAACAGTTATCAATTGCCAATAAAATAAAACGTATAGTTCAAAGTTTTCAGTATTATTCTAAGTGTAATTTTTTGTTGAAAACTTGTTTTGTCTTTTAACTGCCAGGTTAACTCTAGAGGATTTAATGATTTTTGCGTTCAAAAAATACGTCAAGCATCATTTGGACGAAGGGAGATTGAAATAGCTGAACAAGGTAAGTGTAATCACAGTTGACAAATCACTTAGAATAAGGTCATACAAAGGAAATTTTTTGTTTCTTTTCTATACTGATGGTTTATAGTTTTACATCTATTCATTTCATAATTACTTAGCGTAGAGATTAAATATGAAGCTTTCAGCTACATGCACTATTTTTTCTGTCTGCGACACATTGCAGGTTTCCCAAACGCTCTCATAGGTGGAGAGGGTTTCAGGAGCTTGACGGTATCCTTCATACTATTGTTTTTGTGTTGTCTCTAATGCAGGATTATGTAGACCTCCTGGGTGACTGATTGATTTTAGTTTTCATAGTACAGCGCTGTTGTGCAGTTGGCGATAAGCCACACTTATTTTACGAGGGCTAGTGATGATTTCTGGCTGCACATACCTTAGCAGACGGAGCGGACTTTGAACCCGTAGTAAACTGGTTAGACGTCGAATACCTAGATTAAGGAACTAACCAACCAGTAAAAGTAAAAGACTAAACATACATTTCTGATTATCACCAATAACCCTGTAACTAATGTGTTTCAGAACCTTTTGTTAACGAGTTCCGAGTACTTATACCGTAATATGTATCAAGTTAGTTTATGAAATCAATAACGAGCCGATGTACACTTTAAATTATGTGTAATTTAATGATCTGTAGTCGTTTCCGTTCTGTTATCGTTGCTTACACTTATTAGATTCAGGTGGTTGTATACTTTTTATTCTGTATTCAGTCCAACAGCTTATTTCACTTAGTAATGAAGTGTTTAGTGACTAGCTAGCTCTCGTGTATTACGATACCTACTTAGTTTTGGTAGATGCTGCGTCAGTTGTGTTTAGTAAACACTCACCATTTTGATGTGGTTGTGCTCTCTGAGCTGGATAGTTAATTTGCAAGGCTTTCATTGCCCTACTAGATAACATCTTCAGCGCATACTTCAGTCTAGCTTAGAGAACACAACCACATGAAAATCATCCACCTGAGCTAAAAATCTTCTCCATCATATCTACATTCACCATTGACGCGCATATATATATATATATATATATATATAAATAGTTGTTTGGAGACAACGTTCATCAGTGTAAGCAGTCGGTTTTCAGCTAATCGGTCAGGAATTGGAATCCCACCCCATCCACTTCAGTCTGAACAACTGGAAAGTATCATCGACTTTCATAGACTTGAAGCCTTGGAGTTTCAGTAGTAAAGGTGTTGTGCCTTTTACGAGGTAGGGTTACTAGCCTCAAGTCTAGACTTTCTTCTTTTCGTCGTTTTCTATCGACTAGTGCGTCAGCCATGTGCGTGGTTAGCGAGCATTCTACCTATGAACCGTCGACGCTGGGGACCTCGTCGAGACATAAACTCGGTTGGCTGGATGCAAAGTCTAGAGCATTAACCGATGCATCAAGAGGCTGGTACATGAAAATCCTCTCCCGATTGACTGAATTTTAACGCAGGATAGTTAGTGTTCACAAAAGATTATTTTGATTCTACTTAAGAGGTTTTGAATTCGTTTTACTGCTCTCCTTCTCTCGTCGTATGTTTTGTTTACTGGATGTGTTCGGTTTCATTTTTGAAATGATTCGCTTATCACTTTTATTTTTCTCCAGAAGAATGCTGGCCGTTACAACATATATCACCTTTAATGATGATATGTAACCATTATGTGACTTCCGTTAGTTAAATGACATAAAGGCTGGATTCCGAGTGGAGTGTAGGGCTTCAATAGCCCATCTCCATTTCATTCCTGTTCTCTGCACTTCACGATTGTTCATAGACTGTCATCTCTTCACACGATCTCCTCTATGTCACCCTCAGGTGCCCAACTCACTGTTTCCCACTTGGATTACACTTGAGTGCGTCTGGCAAGCAACACCACTCAAAGGTCTTCCCAGCATGTGCTCACTCCATCTCCATTTCCTTCTTGCTGGGTTGGTTTGTTGATAGGGCTCTTTGCTGTTGATCCTTCCCGTTCTTCCATCGGATCTTCTGTATGGAACGAAGGTAGATATTGATAAAAGTCTTTAGCCTGTTGAAAATTAAGTATTAAGTTTAGCAATATTTGATCTCTACATTTTAAGATTTACGTTGACAACAGTTATTTCTGTATATGTATTTTTTTCTTGTCACTGATTCGTTATTCACTTGCCTAGAATGTTTTATCTCAAATAATTCTAGTTTCTAACATAACAGAGGTTTTGCATGCATACATACATAAGACAAGTTCGTTCATTCATTCATTTACATATATACGCTGTTGTTTTTATGCACATTGTCCGTTCTTCACTAAACTTTTCGTTACAATAAAATAATTTTTAACCACACAATCACTTGAGTGACTACGTGATAATTCTTATGGTTACTAAACAATTTTTTATTTTGTTTGTAGAATGAACATCCTGCTTAGTTTTTAGAGTGTTTTACGATAACACTAATAATAATATTTACTACTTTACTGAACTTCAGAAGAGTGAATATATGCGCATAATATGCACGTATGTTTGCTTTTATGTATGTATGTGTGTGAGTGTGTGTGTTTTAGTATTCATTCATACTTAAATACACACATACACACACATAGAATAAGCTTCGTGATCGAGGTGACAGTAGCCAAATATCTTATTAATATATCTATGTATGTATGTATGTACGTATATATTTGCAGAGGTGATCTGATCATATGCCTTCCGCTTTTCTAATTAATAAATTTTTGTTGTTCCCAATTTTTGTCGCTAAGTCGTTCACTCATTCTCTCTCTCTCTTCCTGCGTGTCTTCATTTATGCATGACTTGATTTAAATAATCGCAGTGCATTCTTAACACAGTCACATTGAAGAAAGTGGTAATTGTGTAAACAAACCTACAAATGCATGAAATAAAATAAAAATTGGTTACTTCATGGTTGCTAACTGCAATTTTTTGGCATTAATAATAATAGTATTTTGTAATCATATGTATTATACTGAGGATTTCTTTATTAGAACATATCAAGTTGTCATTAATTATGAATTTTCATCATTATTTGATTGTACTGCATTTGATTGTTACCTTATATTTCCGCTATTGGTTATTTAGAGGAATATGATTTTATTGAGGTTAAAAGTAACATTTATTGTGATAAAATATGAAGCATGTTTATAAAAATCATAAACCTTACATTTGATTGTACAGTTTGCAAATAATAATCATAAACAGAGTATCTTTGCCTTCGTTAATTCTTCTCAGTCAATCTGTTATCACCCCCTCTTCTTTCGTGTCCCTACTTCATTTCACTTCTCCGCTAACACAAATTGTCATTGTTTATCCGAAGACGTTAGTCGACATACCGTTGTTTTTTTATTCATTGCCCACCCAAAGGGGAAATTAGGCCTTCAAATTTTGAGTTTTCAATTTTCGGTAGGAGTGTTGGTGGTAGGGGTTCTTACCTTCATGCACAACCTTCCCTCATTGTGAGATTACTAACAGCTAATAAACTAAATGAGGTTTAAGACTGCATTGGCCAGGAATTGATAACTCCATAACTCCCTTGAGGTTTGAGAGCATTCTACTCTTGAACCACCGATGAAGTACTCGATAAACTATTTAAATCCATATATAAGTCGTATACACTACAGGTAATTTGAAATTGTTACTGTTTGAAGTTATGGTTATCTAAATTGAAGTCATGCTTTTTAATTATTCTTGTATACGTTATTTTAAGAAAAGAGATTATTTTTTTGTTTTTGTCTTTTTAGAAATGCCCGGTTTAATGGCATTAAGAAAACGTGCTAAAACTGATCAGCCTTTAAAAGGGGCTAAAGTTCTTGGCTGTACACATGTGACTGCACATACTGCTGTAAGTAGATTTTTCTCCCTCTAAAAAGCATGATATTAATAGATATTATTTATGCTTTTAATATTCATAATTGAATTTCCTATAAAGCTGTTATCTTTAGTGTTGTTATGTTCTGTGGGCACTGGGTAGTTTGATTGTGAAACTTTTATTGGCCACCTGCACAGCAACATCGGAGGTAACTTGACGTTGCAATGAGCGCTGAATATATTGTTTAGGAAGGGTAATAAAAGCCGCACATTTAAACAGGTAAAAAAAAAGATGTTCATTCGCCAACATTTACTAGTTATTCTGACACTCGTAACGGATTTTGACATTTAGGTGTATTTCAATGATATATTCAGCCTGTAATTGGCTTTTCTAGCATTTTCTATCACAATGACGGAGTTGTGCCTAAATGTACAAAACTTTATTCTGCCTCTTTCTGTTTTCCCCTTCTTATCGATGAACATTTTCTAGTAACCAATCTTTCATAGCTCTGAATAGGGATATTTCTCCCACCCCCTGGGCGCTCTCTGATTTTAGTTTATTTGCGGTAATCGGTAGGATTCTTTGAAGCCAAGTTTCGTGCTTATTGGCACTTGTCAGCACCTGTCAGCCTTGAAGAAATTTATATCCAGGAACTCTTTGTCTAGTCTTTCTTACTTAACATTAATTCAGAGTTCACCGCAATGGCATTTTATTTAGCTCGATGGCCGAATTGCAAACTTGGCTGGTAGAATTAAGCCAACGTTAACACCGGGGACTAAACACATAGTATTGGTCACAACCGGGTGACCAGCCATTGCATGAATTTGTTTTCCGATCACAGATTTCTTGTATTTTAGAGCTGCGTTTTAACCATCCTTTTTCCATGGTTAGTCGTTCGAAAGCAAACAAAGTTTGAGTAGACTGTACACCATCTGCTTTTTTAATGCGTTTTAGGATATATTTATATTCCACTGTATAATAGTGTGCATAAAATGAGATTTGTTAGCATTCTTACTTTACATCTTGATATTTGTCGTATCAGCTTTAGTTCATGTGGATTTTAACTACGTGCTTCTGGTAGCACTAGTTTGCCTAGTTTAGTTCTGATTACCCAATATATCCACATGAGATCACAAACAAGCACAGATCAGTTTTCACATAGCAGTAACGTTATCTAAATCAAACTTTCAGGTTAGATCACAAACTAACTTCAGTTAGAGAACTATTGAAAACTAGGGAGTTCTAGTGGAAAGTTGTGACCAGTAGGGTACACCAAGTTGACTGTGAGAAAATATACTCGTTGATAACATTCGCTAGCGGTCGCACTATTCATCGCGAATTAGCCGAAGTTAGAATTCATGGGTTGTTGGATTCCGTTTCGGTTGTTGAGTGGTGAGTGCGCTCCCTTTGTAACCTGATGGTCTGGTATTCGATCTCTGGTGATGAGATATTCGGTGAGGACTGATGAAGGGTCTTAAACTAAGACGAAACTTCTGTCCAGTACCTACTGTTTCCAATGGCTCTCTAACTTAAGTTAGTTCGTGATCAAGCATGGAAATAACCAAATCCCCGAAATCAACACTTTAGAAGAAACCTTTTTTGTCTTTACCTTCGGATTGTATTTCCTTCGTTAAATTTACCTATATTTGATTATCTTTATTTATTTACTTTATGTAAACATAAATTAATTAAACTCATAATGTATAGGTCCTTTTGGAAACAATGGTTTGTCTTGGTGCTCAAGTTCGATGGTGCGCTTGTAATATATATTCAACTCAAGTAAGCCAACTTTTTTCCCACTTGAAAATTAACTATAATTAGTTTGTTTTTATTCAAATATTTTTGAGATAGTGTAGAATGAAAGCACACTGATTTTACTGATACACTGTCTCTTTCTTCCGCATCTGAATTCTTGTCAAACAACAGAATTTTCCTTACAATAGAAGAATACTATAATTCATGCATATGATATTGGGTTATTCTTGAAGCGAATGTTGACGCTTAGCTCAACTTATTATCATGCTATTCTTCCCTTGGGTTTCGAGTGGAACATAGGGCTTCAACAGCACATCTCTACTTTGTCCTATCTTCTGCTGGCCCCATGATCGCCCCATAGTCCCTTATTTTCTCGCGCGGTCTCAATGTCACCCTCAGGCGCGCCCCACTCGTCGACTTCCATCTTGGTTCCACTCGAGCACTGGTCTGGCGCGCGATGTCTTTCGACTGCCTTCGCAGCGTGTGCTCAATCCATCTTCACTTTCTCCTACATATTTATTGAGCAAAAGGTTCTTGTTTGGTTTATTCTCAGAGTTTTCTTGTTGCTAATTCTTTCTTATCATTTGATCTTCAGTATGGAGCGAAGGCTGCTGTTGGTAAAAGTCTTCAACCTATTGGAAATGCTTTCTGTAAGGCGCCATGTTTCTGACCTTTATAGAAAAACTGACTGACGGACTTAACATTGGTGTTGAAAATCCGAATCGTGTTCTTTATGCCGAGTGCAGAAGTTTTCCAAACCGATTTCAGGCTGATGAAGGTATATCTTGCCTTTCCGATTCTGGCCAGCTCTGACATCTTCATCCGTGCCGACTGCCTGTAGCTGAAACGTTGCTTCCTAGATAAGTGAAGAAAGTAACCTCTTTCAAATTCCTCCTGTTGGCAGTGATTGGTACTGGTTGTTGTTGGTTGGTTGTCTTCATCACCTCCGTCATCTCTATATTCGTATGAAGTCTCATTCGCTGCTTCTTCTGCCACTTTGTTGGTTTCGCCTGCAAGCCTTCTAGTTTTTGTGATATTAAACATAAATCATCTGCGTCGGTGACACAGTGGTTAGGACTCTCGCTGACCATGCACATGGTCCGGGGTTCGATCCCCTACCGACGCACACCTGATATCTATGGTCGGCCTGCAAAATTTGGGCTTCCGATATCCATGCTGAAAATTCCATACTTGTACCAAATATACAATGTGGAATCAAGCTGTAATCAAAAATTTAAAAAAATAATAATCTTCTAGAGTCTTCTTATCAGTCCAGCGTATTGCTGCCTTCTCGCTCTCCACAGTCTGATGCATAATTCACTCCAGTCCACGAAAATGAAGAATATTATCGATGATAATATTCAGCCTTGTCTTACTTCTGTATTCACTTCAAGCACCTCACTGAGTTTTCTGTTGTGGATCACCTGACACATGGCATTGTCATATAGCCAGCTGTTGAATGAGGTTGATAAAGACTTGGTCATTGCACGCCGTAGTGTTGAAGTAGTTTCCAACTTACTTCTCGGTCAACACTGTCTGTCGAAGGCCTTTACAAAGTCAATGAAATTGATGGTTCAACTTATGAACATACCATTATGAATTCCACTTACCTATAACTTCGTTCGACTTCAGTAACCTTAAATTCCATATTTCAACATTTTGGCATCTAATAAAGTATTTAGGCGAAAGAATAATTGTGTGTATTTTTAGTTAACTAATATATTTGCATTTATTTGAAGGAGTGAATCAGTTGACTGATTTGTATGGTATACAATGTAGCAGTTACTTAGATACCAGTAAGTATATTCATTAAGGTAGTACTCCGTACACTGAATACTTATTTGATAGGTGACGCTGAACTCACTTTTTCTAGATGACATGCATAGTAATAATATGTTCGATAAATAATGAATGTTATTCAACAACTTTCTTGCAATTTTTTGTAGTTGTCAGTGAGAGAGACTTATTGTTTAAAGGCTAGTGATGCTTCCTTCCAGTAGTCGGAATGAGGTTCAAACCTGTGACTTAGTGCCCAAACCAGAAATTATGAAACACTGATATAACGATTTATTTAAAATAAATAGCTAGCACACTCTAATTTATGTTACTTGGTCAGTTGGTGGTTAACAGTAGAATCTGAGTTGTGCGTTTCGTTTTTATTTAGCATTCGTCTTGGTGGGAACACCGTTACTCTCGGAGACTCAAGTACATTGAGCTGACGAATACTGAATAGGAAGAAACGTGGATCCTAAATTCTACTGCTAGCCACCACTCAAGGCATTGTCGAAGCTTCTGTACGAGGAGTCCTCATGTCGACAGAGATCGTGTATTTCAGTCGTCTTCAAAATAACTTCAGCACATACTCTATTAGTATTCACTCGACCGCTAATAATAAGTAATCATCTAACCTGATTGTTTTATTACCTCACGTGATGATAAGTTAATAATATCATATCACATGCATAATAGTAACAACAGTAATAATTGGTTTGTTTACCGTGTTATTTTTGGCAAGTAAGAAAGACATTTTTGTATCAAGTACTCTTACAAATCCAATAATTAAGATAAACAATAATTAAAGATACAATTTGCAGGTCAATGATTATTTGTTAACTAACACTTATAAGTAATCAAGTAATTATATGCATCATGAAACTTATTCACTAAACATATTTAACTGACTGGGTGTTAAGAGTCTTTTTTCTATCTGCAATGTAAAATTACTTTCTAATATTATTATATGACTGCTTTACCAAAATTGTAATTGTACTGCACAGAGTGATGTGACCTGAAGTTCTAGTGGAAATTCATGACCATCGGGATCTGCCAAATTGATTGTGACCTCTCAAAGTCACCATTGACTGACATTGGCTGGCGATTGCGCTTTATTTTGCGAATTTGCAGAAGTTATAATTGTTGCACCACCGGATTCCACTCCAATGGCTCAATGCTATATGAGCCCGCCCTATAAATTAAGGGTCCTCTGTTCGACCCGTGGTGGGTTTACGGGGATGCACTGCCAAAGATTCCCAATCCATGATGAAATAGCTGTCCCTAGTTTTCAATAGTTCTGTAAATGAGGTTACTTCATGATCAATGTTTTCATTGTACAAGCCCTTTGTTACTGTTTCCCACTTTTAATCGATCAAGCAACCCAATGAAACCGCAAAGTGGTATGAAATAGCATAGTGTTGCCATAGTGCTCTTTAGCTCTGTATAGAGACTTCGTATACTGGATTTCGTCTGTTCAATATACAGTACATACGTGCAAGTGAAAAATGGTGCTCACTGTCCTCAATTATTTCGCATATCCATCATTTTAATCAGCTACCTTAAAATATCAAGAAAATGTTGTTTAGCATGTATATTTTTTATCACAGTATTAATATGGTGTTGTTATTACATATGCGGAAATTAGATTCAATAGTATTAATAATTTTTAAGCAATCGAACGCTATCACTATTCATTGCACATAGAGTGTGTTGTCAGAAGTTATCGGTAATTAAATGTATCTTAACGTAATCTCTGAGGTAGCAATCCATTTAACACTTATCTTAGTTTGGGATTCTTTAACCGTGACTACCGAAAATCCCACGCTGGACCGAAACCTTTAACTTCACCATTCAGTCGTTGGGCTGTAATCCAGTAACTATTGAATTCTGACTTGTATCAATTTGAAATACAGCACCACTACCATACAAAGTCATTAAGAAGAATCTGTTCTCACAGTCAATGTAGTGGACCCCATCAGTCACAATTTTTCATCAGAACGCCAAGAAGTCTATGTGCAGTGGACTAATTCTTAAAGTGCTGCGTCCTTAGAATTCGATTGATTTCAAGGTAGACTTCATTACAAAATTGTAGAATTTAGAATTCATGGGCCATTAGACTCCATCTCGGTAACTGAATGGTCAATCCGCTCATTTCGTAACTTGAGGTTTGGGTTTCGATCCATGGTGAAATTGTGGGTGCTTACTGATAAAGAGTCTCTAAAGGAGGATGAAGCAACTGTCCAGTGTTCCTTTATTTCAAATGGTTTCGTTAGCGATGTCGGTTCGTGAATGAATCTGCTTTAAAATCAAATAAACCCCCACAATTTCACAATTCAAAAGTTATTGACATTTTCTATCAGTATAGTTCCGTTTGTAGGTAATTATCGATATATTTAACATAATTTTTCATATTCATGACTTTTGTAAATTAGTCGCCATTTCTTTGATTTCATGATCTTTCACAATTATAGATCGACAACTCTATCTTCTGTCTGTTGTCATAGGTTGAGACTCTCGCAGGTAGTTATGGGTTGACAAATTGTAATTGATATAATGGTTGGGGATTGAAGATAAAATGAAAGTTTCTGGTCACAGCTGGATTCAAATTTTGGTGATAAACTGATTAACAGTTGTAGATCTTGTAGATCAGTTGGTAGACCACCAGACTGTTGAATTGGGAGTTGTTGGTTCGAATGCTTCCGTTATTCAGATATTCATTTCATCTTCAATCATCACCCATTGCATCATCGACGGTGTTTCAACCCAAGACTGTCTCAGATACGCTGGCCATCAGTTGACAAACTACTCCTCTTTTTCTAATTCAGCATAATTGTAATTAGCAGAAAATGATCCAGCTAGTTAGCTTGCATGGTTATAAGCGAACGGTAATGAATAGTTGATTCATATGAAAGCTGAGCATTACCCCATTATGATTACAGTGAAATGATAACCTGTTTATCATATGGGGTTTACAGGTTAGATGGTAAATCGCCACACTAATTAAATTTAGAGGTCGTTGGTATGAGTCCCCCCATTACTTGTGATTTTCATTTCACCCTCAATCACTACCCGTTAGGTCAAATATTAGATTTTATAGTTACCATTTAGTGGAAATACTAACTAGGCGCCTTCTTGTTTGTTTTTTGCTTTCCTACCAAATATAATTTGCTTGTTCAGAATGAAGTTGCTGCAGCCTTGGCAGAGGCCGGTTTTCCTATATACGCATGGAAAGGTGAAACTGAAGAGGATTTCTGGTGGTGCATTGATCGGTGCATATCTGCTGAAGGTTGGACTCCCAATGTGGTATGTTATTTAATTTTGAGTATTTTATTCTCCTCGTCATACTACTAAATTGGGCTTTATCTGATTTTAGTAATCTGTTCAATTATCTACGATTGTTGTTGTTACAAATTGACTGACAATTCTATTTATTTTTAGGTTGCTTTCGTTATTGATCCCTGGCGAGTAACTAGTGTCGGTTAGTATTGAGTACTGTCTGTCGAATTTGCAATGTAGTCGCAAATCCAGGAGATTTGCCATCCTGAATCGCATTTTGAATTTATGTTAGGTGATTGGTGGCTCTGGATAACATAACATAACATATATAACATAACATAACATAAGCTTTATTCCAAATCAGTACTTGTGATACAGAATGGAATTCTCAGCATTTTACTACAATATTGCATCCAGTTTTTTACATTAACAATAAATAAAGTTCTACATAGTTTAAAGTTATCTCAACAACATATTAGTATGTCGGTAGCAAAGCCAAAATTAAAGCGTTTGAAGGTGTTAGAAAAGTAGATACTACTAGCATATTTACTGGCGTAAGCGATAGCAAAATGTTCGAGATGTACAGAGTGTGAAAGAACGAACAAGAATGTTTTAAGTAGAGTTTGCAAGGAAGAGAGAAACAAAACAGCACATAACAAAAATAAATACAGAATGAAGAGCGAGAAAACGTTGTACCTATAAATGATGTGAGTTGGAAAGACAAGATCCATTGGTTCTACTGACTATTTAATAAGTTAAAGGTTTTATGCCCATTGACACTCATCGGCAATAGGTATCAGCAATCCTGAAATGGAATGATATCCCCACTGAGATTCAAACTGGTGTCACACAGTGCTGCAGTCAAATACATTACCACTGTGTAATTCGAGTCCATAACTGACCTCCTGTAGATTTATAGTGGTTGTATATTTTGGTCACTGGGGGGTAACTAGTGTCATGTGTCTACTGTTTAGTTTTTTATTACGGGGTTGATTGACGTGTACTATAAAAGTATTATATTCTACATCGTTCCTTTTTTCAAATGAATACTTTTTAACCCACAAAATGTAAATTCCTAATCCAATGTTCAAAGCAGATAGGAGACATTTGATTTTCAATTTTAGTGTTGATAAAATTCTTTTAAAAGGTAGATGTTTTTTTTTGAAATATATAGTTCTTGTTAACTTTTCAAGTGTTGGTTCGCAGGGATTTGATTGATTTTAAGACTGATAACAAACTGACTTAAGAAAAAGAACCATTGAGCAGCAGGAAGTACTGGACACCCGTGTTTTCTGTGTTTGATGGGGGTCATGGTGCATACTGCTGAATAGCTCCAATTAAGGATGACGGTGCTGTTTAGTACTCTCTTGTTTTCAATGGTTCACTAGCTGAATTCGGTCCATGATCAGTCGTGTTGTAGTCTAGTTGAGCCCCACTGTAACGAGCATAGTTGTGTCTGATAATTAGTTAGTTGATTAGAACTCAGTTACCCGGTACTGGCGTGTCAACCAATACTCATTATACAAGGGCTAATATTTCTACCCAATTGGTCAGGTTGTACCAGGTTTTGTGTTTAAATAATAAATAAAATGCCCAGATGGTGGTCTACAGGATGAGATGTCTGTCTGTTTTCGACATAGAACTTTGCACAAATGTGCGGAAGTTCAAGTCGCCACACTCCGTGTAGCACGCGAAGCAAGAGAAAAAAGTACAAGAAGAGCATAATAGAAACAGTGAGCATAGGTGTGAGACAAAGGAGTAACAAAGAAATACAAAACAGTTTCATTGGAGATCATAAGTCACAAGGAGTGGATGCATCTGCGTTAGCCACTGAGAACGATTTTGAGCCATGTCACCAATTGTTTCCAACCATAGATTTTTACCGTCCCGAGGACCCCAGCCTGGAAGTCTACACCTTTCTACGTGGCTTAGACCAACTGTTGTGGATTTCATTGACTGATGCCATGTTTTTGTTTGACCGCCGCTAGCTTTTTTCCAGCCTGACCCTATATCCGCTAACATTGCTCGTCGAGGGAGGCGATGGCTTGGCATACGTAACACATGTCCTAACCATCTCAGTCTTTGTAGCTTCACGACTTCGTCGATTGATTTCCCCTGTTTACCTAGAACTCGACCGATGTCTAACCTCCATGTTGCTCACCTTATTATGCCACTTTACACGGGAAATAGAACGCAGGCACCTATGATCAAAGACAGCTAGTCTTTTCATGTCTTCCACTCTCAGTGGCCAGGTCTCACAACCATAAAGGAGGACGGAGCGGACTGATGAGCAGTACACCCGCCCTTTGGTCGATAGTCGAACATCTCGTCTACGCCAGAGTCGGCGTAAACTAACAAATGCGAAACGAGCCCCTTGTATTCTCTTTCTAATACTTAAGGAGGAAGATGTCACATAACATATCCACTTAGTAGAAGTCTTAACATCATTTTATTTTCATCTCAAATTACGGTAGATTATATTTTACTTAAAGGGAATTTAGCTGTTTAACCTGTTTTGAAGATTAATCCTCTACTGCTTGATTTCTTAACTTAAGTGACAATAACATTGACAATTGTCATTGATACCTACTTTTCATCCTATTGATTTCTCTATTTTCTGTTCTATCTTCTTGATTTTCGATCATTTATGACCACTGCTTATACATGATATGCTTATAATCAGTAGACTTTTGATATTCAAAGAGAATATTTCATTGGGCAACCTTAAAATGTCGTTAAACTCTCATTACTTAAACTCTCGTTTGCTCAATTTCGCCCAAAGGCAGTTATGTTTATCAGTGTGTTTTCATTTGCAACGCCTCCTTAAAGTTACCTCACTTATATGACTGACTAAATGATTTAGTTTCAAGCCACCACACTGCACACATGCACACAAGAGTAGAGAAAAAAAGAGATTCAAAATAAATATAATGAGTAGAAATGTGCAGGAGAAAGAACAGTGACGTTGAAAAACAAGAAAGCTTTATAGATACGATGAATCACAAAGGGTGAATACACATGTACTCTTGTCAACGATTTTGAACGGCGTTACAAAGTCTCCAGCAATTCATTCTTAATATCTCAAAGACGTAAGCCAAGCAATCTACGCTTCCCTACATAGTCGAAAAGAATAGTCAATAACTTCATGGATAGATGATATGTCATGTTTTCGTTTGACCACCTCTACCTTAACTGTTTTTTTTCAAATCAGGTCCTGTGTCAGCTAAAACTACTCGCTAAAGGGGTCGACAGATCGTTATGTGTAACACATGTATCTCAGCCGTCTCAACCATCGACGATTAAGAATTTCATTGACTGACTTGCCTGATTGCATCCTTCATTCACAGAACAAACCATCACTTCACTGTGTACTACTATCACTTTAACGTGCTGTTTATTGGTTTTGTTAAGCCTTCTAAATATCTAGGTTTGATTATATCTCTCGTCTTTCTTTTCCACATTCATCAGGTTTTAGATGATGGTGGTGATTTGACTCATCGTCTACACAAAGAACATAAAGAATTACTACCTGGAATATGCGGAATTGTTGAAGAAAGTGTAACTGGGGTTCATCGACTTTATCAATATGTTAAGTCTGGTACACTGGGTGTTCCAGCAATGAATGTTAGTGATAGTATAACAAAATCGAAATTTGATAATTTCTATTTGTGCAAAGAATCTATTGTTGATGCGTAAGTATTTTTAAATTTCGCTTATCATACTGTTTCAACTTAAGCTGATATCTGTAAAACGACGAAAAAATATGTTTTCATAAAGATTTCTTTACGAACTGGTATCGTTTGGAGAGTCATCGAAAACCAGTGAGTACTGGACAACTATTTCTTCCCAGTTTGGGACTGTTCACCAGTTTTCACGCAAGACTCCACTGGAGATAGAGGCCAAGATCTTAGTGTTACGAAGCGAACTTATTGACCACTCAACAACTGGGATAGAATTCAAAACCTCATAAACTGTAACTTTTCCCAGTACACAGCAAATGATAATGAGGGTCCCAAACTTCGACGAAACCACCGTCCATTACTGCCGGTTTCTCAGTGGTTCTCTGACTGATATCAGTTCGCGATATAACTTGAAATCAGTCAATCAAGTCTATGCAACCAAGCATTGAAAGATATTTTAAGTTGTTAGATCAATTCTCTTCTGTTCTACAATTTTAAGTAATACATTTATTGTAGTCTATTTCTCATTTTTACTTATATTTTCTATTTTAATTCGGTTAGCTTGAAATATAAATCATGCCACTGTTGGTAAATAACTTTATATCTAATTCTTTTGAACACACAAAAAAATTCTGGAAAATAGTTGAAAGATTATTTTATTAATCAGCCTTTTTTTCTTATTATCCATCGACACCCAAAATATTATTGAATGCCATGGAAGTATGTCGCTATTTCATTGATTTTCATCATAGATCTACTTACTTACCAGCCTAGTCAACCTTAGAATTCATAGCAAATGTTGTATTACTAGAGACTGTTTTTAATTAATCTTTTCTGTATTGATTAAGTGTAGTTTATGTTATCTTACCTAGCTGTTTAGATCGTGAATTCGACTGATGAAATTCTGTTGGCATCAACACTAAGGACTATGCACCTGACACTGGTGTATACACTGGTTGTTCCTTAATGTCCAGTCAGTATAAGCATTACAGCCCTATGAAATATCAGTAGTAGCGTCTGTTGTTGCAGGACTGAGTGACGCGTGTTCAAGTCTCAGAAGGACGCCAGTCCCTCCAAGGTTGCAGATATGCCTTGCTGACATATGCCGTGATACCTCGGCAAAGAGCTCTCTGTCGACTGTCTCCTACCGTCTAACGTTCAAGAAATGCACCGCGATTGGCAGTTTCCAAGCTTGGTATCCATGTTTCCAACCTGACGCATAATACCGATTACCCTTCAGTGAGCCATCAGTATAGAATTCATTTCTGCCCGCTGCAATTAAGAGGACGTATAGAATAATCGCATCATGAATTTCAGTTAGGAGTTATTGTTTTTTTATCGAAGCATAACTTATAAAATTCATCAATTCTTCAAAACTCATCGAATGATGCCTACTGAGATGAAAGTCAACTACAGCAAAGACCATCCATACTTGCACTATGCACTATGAGTTGTGACCGAGACATATAATCATCTTTGTATTTAAGTGAAATTTTTATTTTATTGATTTGTTGAATTTCTATTTCTCTCTCTTCTAGTTTAAAACGAACTACAGACATGATGATCAGTGGAAAGACTGTGTTAGTGTGTGGTTATGGCGAAGTTGGAAAAGGTGTTTGTCAAGCTTTGAGAGGATTAGGCGCATTTGTTTGCATTTCTGAAATTGATCCAATTTGTGCTCTTCAAGCTTGGTAGGTTATTTACAACATCTTGTCTAATCATTTTATCCCTTCTGTGCCTTTTCTTTCATCTTTTTTTTAAAGTTTTAGTCTACCTTATGTTAATAAAACTAGTTTCTGGTGTTCTTGTATTGTTGGATTTGGATGGTGTAATTGTTAAGCTTTCATTGTCCTTCTGGACAACATTTTCAATGCCAACTTTTTAATATCAAGTGAGATTCGTGAATTCGCTAAGGATGGAATATTCGTTTCTCCTGGTGATTGTTTACTGTGATTGATTGTTCCCGTAGATTTTCTTATATTTGTACCCACTTGTATTGATGTTGATCCTGTTATTGATCTGATAGTCGATGTTTCGACCGTATGTCAGTTATAAGGAAGTCTATGGGAATGGCTATTCAAAGTGAAGTTCCCTATGCGAGACATACATTATGTTCATAATGACTTTCCAAAGCTAACTACTTCACACTGATGTTTGCTGTGAGTGCATGTTGTCCAGAATAAAAGCGGAATCCTCACAAATAAACCATCCATCTTAAAGAACAGGTCAACACCTGTAGCATTCACCTGGGCTACACATCTCCACTAGTAAGATTGCCTTGTACCGCCGTTATTTTCAATGTAAACTTTTCATTGTGATATCTATGCAGATCTGCTTGTACCTTAAAATATATTTTATGTATAAAAGATATGGATACAAGTGTATTGAATATAAAAAAATAAGCTTCAAGTGAGTTTAGATCCTGTCACTGTCGGACATATCACTTGTCAGGTTTAAAAAAGCTGTTAGATGACTATTTGTGTAGATAATATTGTCTTTCAGTGTTAATTCTTCCTAATGTGATAAAAGGTGCCTACGTAATTTGGATAGTTTAAATATACTGCACTGGAGGCATGGTTCCTCTGTCCAGGTGTTAAAGTTTTAAATGAATTCTGCTCACTGAGATCCCACCAGCTGGATAGTATCGTCAGCTGTCACAATATCGGTGTTCCTCATTACCGAATATGTGGACGTGTACTTGTTGGTTAAGTGAGACCTGACTTCAAAGTCATATGGATTTGCTGTTTAGGAGAAGTAGAATAATAGACAGGGGATAGTTGTACAGGGATCACTTGTTTAAATGACATTTCAATGCACTTACATGAATGGTGTTGTTTTGCACGGTTTCACACGTGTAGTCACATGTTTGAGTCGCATAATAAATGTGACTTATTGTGAAATTAATAAAGAAATACTTTATTAAATATGTATATTCTGTTTCCTACCACTCATTTTGTTTATTTTTCCTCTCCTATAAACAAATTAACTAAAGTATGGATGGTTTTCGTGTTGTCAAAGTTGACGAAGTTATTCGATCTGTTGATATTGTGGCTACATGTACAGGGAATAAAGGTGTTATTACTAGAGCACTTATGGATCAGATGAAAAGTGGTTGTGTTGTCTGTAATATGGGTCATTCTAATACTGAAATTGATGTTGTAAGTATTGTTCATTGTTATTCCTATTATTACTACTACTATGGTTTCAATTTTATAGTTTCTTTTTTTCCATTCCTATGAGCTCCCAGTGGGACATACTGTTTCAAGCATCGAAGTTTCAGAAGCAGCTGTGTTTTCTTTTTACAAGATGGGTTTGCTAGTCACACAGTCACTGCCCTCCCCTTTATTCCCGGCTTTCTGCTATCTAGTAAATTAGGTGAGGGAATGGATTCACACAAAAAACTTGGAGGATCCGGACTTCGCCGATGATATATGTCTGATTTCCCACAAACTGGAAGATATGCAAGTGAAAGGCAACAAGTTGGTAGAAGAAGCAAAAAAAAAACAGGACTTCAAGTGAACATAGAGAAAACAGAGGTGATGAAGATTCCTGGCCGACAACAACAGAAAACAATCAGCCAGCATAAATGGGGGGAACCTGAAAGAAACAACCTCCTTTACCCACCGACCTGGGAAGCATTGTTTCAACTACAGGCGGAACTGACGAGGATATCAAAGCCAGAATCGGGAAAGCAAGACAGGCTTTCATTACTCTTAAGTCTGTGTGGAGGTCAACAGCACTCAGCATAAAAATGAAAATAAGATCCGGATTTTCAACTCCAATGTGAAGTCAGTCAGTGCTACTATATGGATCAGAGACTTGGCCAGCGCGTCATAAAGAACATCTCAAACAAACTTCAGACCTTCATCAACAGTTGTTTTCGCCCAATACTCAAGATCAGATGGCCGGCCAGAAAAGATCAGCAACAGGGTTCTCTGTCAATGAGCGAACCAACCCAACAGGAACCGATTGTGAAACAAATAGGCAGGAAGAAATGGAGATGGATTGGCTGGCCATACTCTGAAGAAACCATCAAGTGACATCACTAGACAAGCCATTGCTCGAGTGGAACCCGAAAGAGAAGCGGCGAGTTGGTCGTCAGTGGGAGGGTGACTTGGAGAGGTTATGTGAAGAGGAGATGAAGGCGGGTGGGCAGACTTGGAACGGAGTGAAAAAGTTGGCAGAAAACAGAAGGCAGTGGAGGTGCGTAGCTGAAGCCCTATGTTCCTCTAGGAATTAAAAGATATAATAATTATAAATAAATTAGGTGTGGTTTAGGAGAGTATGTCGACTGGCAATGGCATCCGGAACTCCTGTTTCACTGGCAAATATTGTGCAATCTAACGAACGATTCACATTGTTTTTAATAAAAATAATCGATTTTGTTTTAATGATTGACTATATGTTTTTAAACGTTTATTGGTATATCTACATATGCATAGAAGTTAAACACTTTCATTGTTAAGCTTAACCTATTGACTCAATTTTCAGACAGGTTTGAGTCTCACTCGACCTACTCATCGTAGGCATCTGGGTATATTATCAACCCTCATACAATAAGTATCATCGGGTAGCTAAATTCTACTCTTAAACTGATTGTTAAGTATTCGTATAAAATGTATGCCCTGTTTGTTGTTTCAGCAAACCCTTTTGATTTACTTTGACTGATTGATCGATATGAGTGCTTTGAAACCGCTGACACCAAACAGTATTGCTTCTTAGTCAGTTTAAATTGATCTAAACATCAGGTGGTTGCTTCGCACGTTTGGCACTGAGCTAATCAGTGGTGTACCTGATTTATCTACGCTTTGAGAGCCGAATCAGTTCAAAATACCCTGAATTTCACCTAGCTAATTGGTTTACGACTCATTGAGAGTTAATGATAATACCTGGAATCCCAGGTGGAATAGGTTTTGTATCCAGCTGAGACTGTTTGGATGTTGTTTGTTAATATTCAGAGCACCATACAGAGAGACATACAGAGCTTTGGTTAACATTCATTTCAGTTAACGCTAGTGATTTTAAAACATCTTTAATGTTTCTACATTTAACATCCTTATTTCAACTGTTGAAATACATAATTTAGTAGTCTTTTCTAAAAATCCTCCAAAGCTGATTAGAGTGCTACGATTCAACGCTTGTGATTGATCACTGTGACTTGTGAGCCAAGTATACTCTTTGAGTATAAAATAGGAAAGCTTATTATAACTGATTGGACTTGTAATAACAGTTCACTAAGCTTCTGGTTTCTTTGAAGAGTCACATAGAAAGCAGTTTAGCTTTCCTGAATGAATAAAAAAGCTGTAGGTAAATTGAATTTCATATTTGGATACATCAAGTGATACTGTCAAAAATCGGTAGCAATTGGCGCCATATTTTTTCCGGCCTAAACCTTAAATGGTTTACTTTTCATCTTTTTTCCGTCTCACTTAACTGTTTTCTTTCGGCTGTTTGTTTGAGGTCTATTACCGGAATCAGATTTTTCATGTGCCAACTTTTGAACACCTAACTTATTATGTCAGGCCCTTTCGTACTACTCAGTTTCCCAGATTGCAGTAGGTGGGGTGGGATTCGTATGTGAAAGTAACTGGCTAAAAAGTGGAGTGCTTAAGCCCATTGAGCCACATCTCCACATTTATTTTCAGTGATCTCTCACTTTCCTCTACCTATATGTCGAAATGATCCGTTCAGTAAAAAGCTCACGATACATGCTTTGACACTTTGATTCATGTGGTGGAGCAAATAGAATTAGTAAATGAAGTATGCCGTTATCCGATAAACATGGTGGAATTGAATGTTTCCTTTTTCGGCACCAGGAAGCTTATTCTAAACTTATTGACAGTATCGATCGTATTTGTTTAAGTGAGTTGTACTTAATCTCATATAAATAGAACATAATAAAAGATTTTGTAGCTATAATAATAACAAAAATGTGTATAGACAATATTGATTCAATGTTTGTGTACGGTATGTTTGTATGTGTGTGTATATATGTCATTCCATTCGTCACAAAATAAGCTGTCTCAGATTTATCTCTGAATTTCTCTTACTGTCTCTGCGTATGTAGATATTTATTATCGTTATTGTATAACTTACTGTTCTGGTTATACATCCTGACAATGTCAGTTATTATTATTATTATTTTTGTACAAACTCCTCGATTGACTTCCTTCCTCCCCTTTCTGTCTGCCAGTTTTTCTAATAGTGTAAAGTCGAAAACGGTTTTTATTATTTTTCTACTCAACAGTCAGTTAGGTTTTCAACTCCACATGATATTTCATAATTACTTTGGTTATTAAAATGAAAAATAACCGCATGTGATTATAGGGTGTATTGGTGGTGGTGGTGGGTTACGTGGATGTTTCTTTTTTAATGATTTTTTATTACCTATTAGACAATATGTTGACAGTCTACAGTTAGTTGTCATCATTGGGCAATCACACGAAAAAAAAACCCAGTGAAAAACTGAATTCTCTCATTCTTGCTTTGTCTTTCTTTCTTAACTATCTATACTAATATATTATCACAGTTTTTTTTAGAAACTTTTACACAGGTTAGTGTTAGTGTCAATTTAAACACTAAAAGAAAGATGTGAAGTTGTGTTTCTCTGGTCTTGGCGGTCGATTTTTCATAACTCAGTTACCCTGGGACAAATTTCTTGCGCACCAGGCTATGAGCCACATATATTTTGTAAGTGGAGGAGGAGGTATTCGAACCCGTTGACTGAAAGTTGATTGCTTCACTAGACACAAAAGGATTACCAATTATTATTGGGGCAGGCATTCACACCCGACTCCATTTACTGACATTTAGGCAGTCAGCTCCTCACGCAATATGGCTTTTTGCTAAATGCATGAAAATACAAGTGGCTGTTGGGTAATAAAAGATGGAGAGTAGGGAAAACTTATTCACATTCCTATATGCTGTTTGATCATGGGATGGCAATCAATATAGAAATGCTAATTAACTTCTCATTTCCCTTCTTTTACTGTTGAATGTTCTGATCGACACTGGTCCCTGCACAGAGATTTGATATAACACTTAAAACACTTAAGATTGCGGTGGTTTCGTTTATTTTTGTGGTGTTCTCTCCTTCCATGCTTAGCTTTAGTTTTCTCCTAATACAAAATTTTAAATAATCTCAAACAACATAAAAAACTGAATTCGTTCATAAGCTTTAAATAAATGTTCTGTCCGATTTATTTCATTTCTTTTCAAATTTCTTTCCCCTCTGTTTTATTACCACAGCGATCCCTACAAACTCCTGATTTAACTTGGGAACGTGTTCGATCACAAGTAGACCATGTTATTTGGAACGATGGAAAGCGTATAATTCTTATAGCTGAAGTAAGATTATGTTATTTCGTTTTTTTCTACACTGTTATATATATTTTTATACTCTCATTAACCTTGTTTTTATTTTTCCTATATCTGAACGGTGATCTGTCTCAGGAAGTTCTCATGATTGTAAATGAATCTCAGTAGTGTCCACTTGTTGGTTTTTATAATAGTGTAGACTGTATCGCATGACGTTGATTAGTGCTAGATGTCTCCTAAGCTGTGCTAATTACTTTTCAATGTGTTTTATAAACAATAGCTACTGAGGAATTCTTGTGGTTTCTCTCACTATAATTTGAAGATTACCAAGGGTGAATAAATGCATAGTGAGCCATTTAACCCAATCAACCTACTTTTTAAATTTAAACCTAATCAAATCACTGTAATATGCCGTCTTCCTTTACATTATATAATTCCATGTGTGAAAACTGTTATTGTCGAAACGACCCATTAGAACATTTAGCAGAAAAGAACAAGAAGTTTGGCGAAGATATCTTCTAGGCGATTTCATTCTCAGAAGCTGTACAATTGCTTTTATATACTTTATTTCACGTGGATACAACTGTTGTTTAATTCCACCTAGTAACGAAGGTGATTAAAGGTGGTAATAATTGTCAACTTGACATGAAAGTTCAAGATTGTGAATATAGATTACAAGGAGGTCTTGAAGATAAAATTACATAGGATCAGAAAACAGTTCCTAATGAATAAAGGTGTGAATAGGATGAGCATGGAAACATATTGAAATAACAGTGTTTTATAACTGAAAATGAAAAAAAGAAAAAAAGCCGAAGGGGATAGAAAACGACACCTAGGGAAACGAACCAACTAGATCCATGTTAAATTTGGAGGTTGGATTAGTTTCTTCTGAACACACAGCTCCAGTTTTTCGATGCATATGGGAAGGTCTTCTGCAATGTAAAGAATTCAGAAACATACTTCTTTTGGTAGATTTTTGTTAACTTTTTAAATAATTCTTGATGATGAGTAAGTTGAAATGCTGTGACAGGTGTTGACGAGATGTTCAATTATGGCGTTTCCAATAACTCCTCTTTGCAGTCATGCTGGGTGATGTTCTCTAACACGTTTTGATAGAACCCTCATAGAACGACCTATGTACCTAGCTTCCCACGAGCAGGTGAACTGATTTATGCGCATTGAAGTGGTCATATGTGGAAGTTCGAACTTCACATTGCTTCAAAGCAGTGGGCAGCTGGAGAATACCATTCTTAGAGTTGCTGTAGGAAAGGTCTTTTTTAGAGAACTGGAGATTCTCCTCTCAAGGATATCTGCTGTTAAGTCTCCTCTGAAGTTCAGATTCAGATATATTTTTTCTTTGGCACTGAAGTGCATTCTTCCCGTTTTTGATTTTGGTTTCATGTTCTTCCTCCTCGAAAACTGTGGGGTATCCATTCTGAAAAATAGAAGCTCTTCTCCTAAGCAGTCACTGCTCCGAATTCTCCTGATACCGTTGACCAGAGGGATGATGAAAGCTCCTTTTCGACTGAAAGGTATCCAACTGTAGCAGTTTGTTATTTGGTCATTCCATGATTGTTTTCTGCGGATAGATCTTTTCAGAGTTCCATCGTTTCTTCTTGTCAATTCGACGTCCAGAAATGGAATCTTTGATTCATTTTCAACATCAATTGTGAATTTAATTGAAGGATGGCAATTGGTAAACTCCTGTTGGGTAAAATTTAAATCAGAATCATCATGAAAATTTATAAAAATTTCACCAACATACCTTTTGTACAGCAGCAATATGCCCATTGTTGATTTTAAGATACCATTTTCCAATCTCGCGATGAAGCAGTCTCTCAGAAGTGGGTCAAAGGGAGACCCTGTGGCAATCCTATCTTTCGGTCTGTAGATGTCGTCGAAGGTAAGTTGTACATTAAATATACACCTCAGTAACAACTCTTTCAGATATGAGGTTGGTATTCTGATGCTCGGATTCCTGTCCTTCATATATTAGCAAAGCAAACGAATTGTTCCTGTGAGGGGTATATCAGTAAATAGAGATTTTACATCCAGTGATAACGTTCGCTTACCTTTTTACATTTAAATCTTTTATGCATTCAATAAATTCACAAGTATCTCTTAAAGAGTACTTTCATAGCTGTAGTCTCAGGCGCTAGCATTTCGGACAACTATTTGACAGTCGGATGGTATGGTCATCCCGACATGTCTAAAATTGGTCGAACTGTCATACCTGCTGTCTTCACCTTTAGTAGACCGTAGAGTCGGGGAATAATTGATCCTCTTGGTCTCAGGTGTTCAAATAGGTCTTCAATTATGAGACGGTCACTGTTCATTTTTCTGAAAACATCTGTCAGTTTCTGTTCCACTGGCTCTGTCTTAATTTTCTCGTTGTTTGTCCTTGAAAATTTGCTAACATGATGGTAGAGAAAGCAGCGAGGACAGAACTTATAGTGAAGATAGTTTAGACAGAAATCATATAGAATCCAACTAACGGCAAGCACAAATCACCATCAACAGGGATTATTTGAAGGATGTCACTTGTTTCACTTATTTTTGCAGCATAGTTTCAAATACAAGCAACCTCGCCAGATTACTAGCTTGCTAGTTTTCTAGCCGGTCCCGAACCCGGATAAAGAGGTAGGGTTGGGGCGTGGTGCTAGCAACTCCACCCCCGTAAAACAACCAAATCGCTACAGAAACTTCAACGAATAAATATATTAAAAATTCTAAAAACATAAGCAATAGCCTTACTTTTCGCTGGAATCGGGGAAGTGAAATGACGCAGGCTGGTGAATGCCTTCGGAAAGCCAGTCAGCCGATGTGCCTTCTTTCGATGAAAGCAAAAGTAAGGATAGGTACCTGGAATGTTCGTACAATGTACGAAACTGGAAAGGCTGCCCAGATAGCCGCTGAAATGAGAAGGTACAGAGTAAAAGTGTTGGGAATCTGCGAAAGCAGATGGAACGGAACTGGAAGGTGCCAACTACAAACTAGAGAGACAATAATCTATTCCGGCCGCCCAGAGGACAACGATGAGCACACCGAGGGAGTGGCCATCATGATGTCACCAACAGCAGCCAAAGCTCTCATGCAGTGGGAACCAATCTCCTCCAGGATAATGACAGCCAGGTTAAACTCAAAAGGAAGGAAAGTTACAGTCATTCAATGCTATGCGCCTACAAACGTCTCAAATGGCGATATCAAAATCCTGATGGGTGACATGAATGCGAAGCTGGGAGGAGACAACACAGGAAGAGAACTCACCATGGGTCGTGAGGCCCTCGGCGAAATGAACGACAATGGTGAACTCTTCTCAGACTTCTGCGCCTTCAATGATTTGGTGATTGGTGGCAGTGTGTTCAAACACAAGGATATACACAAGACGACATGGATTTCACCAGATGGAAACACCAAAAACCAAATAGACTTCATCTCAATTTCAAGAAAGTGGAGACGGAGCCTACTGGACACAAGGTCAAGGAGAGGAGCAGATGTGGGTTCAGACCACTATCTAGTACAAGGGACTTTCAAGGTGAAACTAAAAGCCTCGAGGATAGCTGGGGATAGGCCACAATGCAAGTTCAACACTCAATTACTGAAGGACACAACCACAAAAGACACTTTCACTGCAACTGTCAGAGCAAAGCAGGAAACACTACGCGACATCACTGAAGAATCATGCGTGGAAGAACATTGGAAGTCTCTGAAGGCGATTCTCAACGAAACGTGTTCAACGGTTCTAGGAAGAAAGAAGAGACAAGACAAGGAATGGCTCTCAACGGACACTTGGAAATTAATAGAAGAGAGGAGAATGGTGAAAGAGAAAATGATTCAATGCAAGGACGGACAGGAGAAGGAGACGCTGAGCTCAACTTACACAGCACTGGACAAAGAAGTGAAGAAGAGTGCTAGGAAGGACAAAAGACGATTCTACGACAACCTGGCCACTGAAGCTGAGAAGGCAGCAGGCAAAAGGGACCTGAGGACACTATATCAGATAACCAAATCTCTATCCGGGAAGAGACCAACACAAGCGAAACCTATAAAAGACAGCCAAGGGAACCCAATTACCAAGGAAGAAAAACAGATTAAACAATGGGCGGATCACTTCAAAGGACTCTTGAACCGACCATCACCTGCAACCCGTCCAGAAATACCAACAACAGCGCGCACACAACTGCAAGTTGACACCAATCCTCCAACGAGAGCTGAAGTCTTGAATGCAATCAAGCTTCTGAAAGCTGGAAAAGCAGCCGGACCAGATGGAATACCCCCTGAAGCACTGAAAGCGGACCCAGAGACTACAGCAGACATGCTGACTCCATTATTGCAAAAGGTCTGGAAGGAGGGAAAGGTGCCTACTGACTGGAGGAAAGGTTACCTCGTGAAACTACCAAAGAAGGGCGACTTAGGCCTCACTCTGCAAGAACTGGCGAGGAATCATGCTCCTGTCGACGCCAAGTAAAATCCTGAGTCGCATCATCCTGGAGAGATTAAAGGACGCACTGGAGACAGAACTCCGACCAGAACAAGCTGGATTCAGGAAAGGCAAATCATGTACTGACCAAATTGCAACTCTACGCATCATCATCACAGAACAAAGCATGGAATGGCAATCAAACCTCTACCTCAACTTTATAGACTTTGAGAAGGCCTTCGACAGCGTTGATCGTGAAGTAATTTGGAAACTACTCGAGTACTACGGCGTACCCCAAATATTCATCAACCTTATTCAACAGCTGTACGACAACGGCATATGTCAAGTGATCCACAACGGAAAACTCAGCGAGGCGTTTGGAGTAAACACAGGAGTCAGACAAGGGTGCTTATTATTACCAATGATATTACTAATTGTGGTAGACTGGATTATGCGTCAGACAGTGGGAAATGAGAAGACAGGAATATCCTGGACCGACGCGAAGAACCTAGAAGACCTGGATTTCGCGCGTGGATGATTTATGTTTGATGTCACACAAGATCGAAGACTTACAAGCGAAAACGGACAAACTGGTCGAAGAAGCAGCAAAGAAAGGACTCCAAGTGAACATAGACAACAACAACAGCAACATCCAGCGTCAATCACCATCAACGGGAGGGATTTGAAAGAGGTTAGTGACTTCATTCACTTATCTAGTGAGCATTGTCTCAACTACAGGAGGAACGGACGGGGATGTCAAATCGAGAAGGCGAGAAACACATGCATTAACCTGAAACCAATCTGGAAATCTTCGTCACTCAGCGTCAACAACAAAATTCAGTCGGATTTTCAATACAAACGTAAAGTCAGTTCTTCTATATGGATCAGAAACTTGGCGGACGGGTCACAAAAAATATTTTCAACAGCCTATTGCAGACCTTTATCAACCAACTACTGTCTTCGCTCTATACTGAAGATCAGATGGCCGGGCCGGAAAGAATCACCAACAAGCATCAAACTATGGGAACAAACAAACAAAACAAGAACCAATCGCCCAACAAATATGCAGGAGAAAGTGGAGATGGATCGGACACTCGCTGAGGAGATCGCTGGGTGACATCGCGCATCAAGCCCTCGAGTGGAACCCGAAAGGGAAGCGGCGTGTGGGACGTCCAAGGGTGACATGGAGATCGTGTGAAGAGGAGTTGAAAGAGTATTGACTAACATGGATGTACGTGAAAAGTACAGCAGAAGACAAGAAACAAATGGAGAAGTGCAGATGAAGCTCTGTGTTCCACTAGGAACCCAAGGGAGCAATAATAATAATTCAAATACAAGCGGCACAGATGAGGATGTCAAAGGCAAGATAAACTTCCATTAACCTGAAATCAGTGTGGAAATCTGCTACCCCTAGTCAATTGTTTTGTATGGTTCGGAGACGGCGTTTCAGCAAAAGCATTTTTGATGAGCTTCAGACTTTCATAAACATCTACCTTCGCTGCATACTGGAGATCAAATATCAAAACGGAAAAGATTAGTAACAAAGAACTCTAGCAGCAAACCAACCAAAAAGCTATTGCCCAACAAATATTCTGAGGGGAACGGGGATGGATTGGAAATACGCTGGAAAGACCGTTGTGTCACATCACTCAAGTGGAATTCTAATGGGGAATGGCGAGTTGGGCGTGCGAAGGTGACATGAAGGTGATGAGAGCCTACGGGGAATCATAAAGCCAGCTTAGTATGACTGCAGAGAACAGAATGAACTGGGAGTGTGCTTTTGAAGTCCTATGTTCTACTCGAAAACCAAGGTAGTAGTGATAATAAAAGTTCTGATTTCTCCTTGATGTTTGTGTGCTATTTGGAATGAATTTCCTAACTGTGATTACACAAAATTCTCCTATTTACATCCACATTTTCATCATGGATTCACTGCCTATCCTATTTTTCAATGTTGATCAAAGTCTTTTATTATTCTTACTTAATATTTCATAACTTTCCCTGCACTCTAAGATCATTCTCTGGAAGTGATACGAATATTGATGAAATTGTAGAATAGCAGTCTCCACTAGGAACCTTCGGAATGACACTTAGAGACGTATTCACATCACTGATCTTGAATACTTTGCTTTATTCGCTTTCATTATATCAAATCAATTATATTATTCCCTTATATTCTCGGTTAAACAAAGAGCTTCGGCTGGGTATCTCCATTTCACACTGTTCTCTGCAGTCCTCTTTTTGCTGGCTCCACGATTGTCCAAAAGCTTTGATTTCTTCCTCACATGACCTCCTCCATGTCACCATTAAGCACTTGTATAGTTTACTGTTAATGTGCTTGCATAATTTCAGATTCGGGTTACAGGTTAAGGATTAAGTTATACTTTTAAGCAGTTCATACATTTATATATACAATTTTTTAATAAATTTACAGATTTTCACGTTACTGTATTTTCAATGGCTGTTCAAGGTCTTCTGCTGGCTATTATGCTGTACTTTCCTAATATTCATTCATTTTTTGACGTTTTATAAGTGAATCCACTCTACTCACTCGTATTTTGCTAAGAAATTCCTGTTGAAACTTGTTTCATGTGTTTTGTCGTTCTTAATTTACTCGCGATTTTAGTGTGACTGTCATTCAATGTAATCAGTGTTCTCGCACCTTATATAGTGTACGCTACTGACCACGACTTCTCAGTCGAACTCCTGGCAGCTTTGGTCCTGTAGTTAGTCACTAGTGAATATCAGATTAATTTTTAAAAGTTAGTTTGTAAAGATTTTAGTCGTTTCGAGTTGTTTAATCACGGACTGATATTATTTGTAGAGCCAATGAAAAGTAAAATAGCACTAGGTAGCTATTTCGTCAATCAATTTATCATTTTTAAATCACGAATATCCTCTTTTATTTTCAGGGACGTTTGGCAAATCTAAGCTGCTCAACTGTTCCTTCGATTGTTGTCTCTGTTAGCGCCAGTACTCAAGTTAGTTTTATAATTAAGTTATTTCGTTTTCAACTATTCCAAGAGTCTTTTTTTATGTACGATATGCAATTCATTATGTTGTGTACAATCCGTTATCGAATTATGCGCATTACTCTTATTATTGTTGATTCTATGTACAGATTTTATTCAATAGATAAATTCTATTTACGAAGCTATTTTATAATGAAATGATGATTTTTCAACTATTTATTCCTCCTTCAATAATTGTTCTTGCTTTGCGTGAATTGCTTTGTAGATAACTTGATTATTTCCAACGTAGACTTCGTTACGAATCGATATTAGTTAGATAAATATAGCAAACAAAGCATAACTGAACGCCTGTTACGTCCTAATGTATGATTCTTCAGCAGTACCCTGGCGAATGTCGTGTTTATTACGATTTTTCAAAAGTTAAGATTCATAGGATCTTAGATCCAGACTTACAGGCTAAACAATAACTTGCTCGCCTCATGACTTTATCATGAATGCTTACTACTGAAATGTCCGAACTAGGACAAATAGATGTTCAATACTTGCTGGTATTCAGATATTCTTCCAACTGTATGTTGGTTCTTGATAACATTTATCTTGGGATTATTGTTGCTATTTTATTCGTTTATACAACTGCGTTCGGTTATCAGCAAGAAATAATTTGGAAGAGGATAAACTGAGCCAAACTTGACACACTGCTGATGAACTAGGCGCCAAACGAGTGAAATGACTTCAATCTGACTAGTAAGCACTACTGATTAGTTTGAGTGGTGTCCGATTACTCATGTCAGTCATTAGTATATAATGTCATGCATCAATCTCACCTCCTGTCTATGCTTGTTTCTATTAGTTCTTTGTAATTGTCTCTGAGTCGGTGTGCTTACTGCATGCTGTTTCCTTTAATCTACTTACTCTTACAGATGATATCTGCTTTTTTGTTGTGTTTATATATCCTGTTTATATCACGTAATTATGATGTTCGGAAAATTAATAGTCCGCATATAAAATGCTATTTATAGTAAATGGTAGTGCTCATTAAACTGTATAACCCAGATAAGTTCTTATTAAATTTGCATTCCTACATAATCAGCTTTCGAAAGTACTTTTCGTTTCTTATTTACTTTCACTCGTCTTTTTTTTAAATAGTCAACATAAATATTTATTATTATTTATTTCGTCTTGAACCAACATCAGTTAGAGACCATTGAAAATCAGAGAGCATTAGACAGCTGTTTCGTCCTAGATTGGGACTCATTGGAAGTACACACCCACGAACCCATCAAGGATGGAGTCTGAGACTTTCAGGCTACTAGGTCAACCTCGTTGATCATTTGGTTACTTAGGCTGATCTGTAAATTCTAACTTTGTCAATTCGCGATATACCGCTACACTCAACTAATGCTTCCATGAGCATCCACTCCATCTTAACATGGTCAACCCTACTGGTCACAACGTCTCAGTACAGCTTCAAAACATCTATCCGACAGCCATCATTGATCTAGTGCAAGTGGCTAAATGTCCTCTTAACCTCAAGATCCCTGGTAGAGTCGTGGGTGTTTACCACTGGAGAGTCTCCGCCTAGCACGAAACAGCTATCCAGTACTTCTTGGTTTTCAATTATCTGTAACTGATTTTAGTTTGTAATAAAATCCACATCGAAATTAATCTAAATCATCTGAATAAATATTTCTGATAATACATGTATAGTAATGTTTGTACTATAAGAGCGGTGTGTCAGTTGTGTACATTTTCATTAATTTGTGTAGTGCTGATGACGCCTAAATAAACTGACTTGAAATTTTGACATTGTTGCTTTCCTCCCTCTTTCTCTTATTTGTGCTTTATTCTCCTTTACTTTGAACGCAGTACAATACAAAATTGTGAACTGGAAATGTGTGTTGCCTTAAAATTACTTTCATGTGAATACTTTTAAAAAATTTTCTGTCGACTTCCGTAATAATTTTAATTGTCGAAAAACTATAAATCTAACTTCCTTTTTACATGTGTCATTTATTCAGGTGTTAGCTCTTATTGAATTGTACAATGCTCCCGCTGGTCGTTATAAAAGTGATGTTTACTTGCTACCGAAAAAAATGGGTAAGATAGTTATCATGTACTTTAGAGTTATTATTGAATATACTAACCAGCCTTTTATATTAGCATACATCAATCATTTGCCAAGATGTTGCGTAATGCTACTGTTAGTAATAATAATAACCACTTTATTTCATACAATCACTTAATACAGAATGAAGTTTTTACCATTTATATATGCATCTGTAGTCCCGACGTTCTGGAAACAGAATTAGGTATTCTAAGAGAAATCTCCATCTAAAATGGATACCCAATAAGATTCATCGACAAAAACATGAAACCAATAATTCGGAGAAATGAAACTTTACTTACCCCTAAAAAGAAACTCTACATGAACTTGGATTTCAAGGGAGATTTAGCAAGCGATATTCTCAAGAGAAGGATCACATCATCTCTGAGAAGAACATTCTTTGCAGCAACGCTAAGAATAGTGTTCTCCAGTCGCCCACTGATCTGCAAAAGCCTCAAGGATAAGATTCCGCATCTGACCATTTCTATGTGCAAATATCAGTTCACCTGCTGCTGTGGAGCCAGGTATATCGGTCGTTCGACGCGCACCCTGTCCAAGAGGACTCAAGAACACTATCCAGCATGGTTGCGAAAAGGCAATAGTGGTGCAATAAGGAGTGCGATAATTGAACACCTGGTTAACGCTGGTCATTCCAATTCAACACACGCGTCCTTCAAAGTAATCTACAGAGTCAAGAATAACTCATCAAAGGCAATACGGTTTCGTCTTCTTTGTATAGCTGAAGCTCTGGCCATTCACATAGAAAAGCCGGAGCTGTGTATACAAAAGATTACTCCACCACTTCTACTGTCATGGTAACAACTTTTTTGATTTGATTTGAGTTTTATTTTTATTTTGGTGGCTTAATTTTGTTTCTTTGCCTGTTCTTTAATTGCTTAAAATTCTTGTATTCATTCAGGACTCTTGCGTAATTTCGTATTATCTACTTTGTTTCTATGTGCATCCTGAGTAAAACTCACTCATCAAACTATTCATATTATTATTACATAACTTCTTTCAACAACTGTTTGTGACAACTCATCACCTTTGTTACTACCCTAATTTCATTAACACTTAATTTTCTTGACTTGTATTACCAATCTTCACCTGTTTAGTTAAAATAACCATAAACAATTGTAATTTTGTTTGACAAACTTAATGTACACATACATATGAAATAACACATATATATTTGCGATTGTACAGCTAAGAAAATGAATTCGCCCAAAAGCGACTCTTCGCTGATCTGCATGTTTTGTTTTTATACACTACAACAAATTTACTCCTTTTAACGGTGATATCAAGTCAGAGCTTATATATATATATATATATATATAGTTCAGAGACTTCGTTAACACGTCAGCTAAAGCGTTCCCGACATTTCGCTGCAGATTTTCATTGATAATTGCCTTCGCTGTATTATTGAAGACCAGATGGCTAGAAATGATAAGCGGAAATGAACTCTACAAACAAACCAACCAAGAATCTATTGCCTATCAAATACCCCGAGGGAAATAGAAATGAATTGGACATACACTGAAGAGACTATTCAATGGCATTATACATCAGGACGTCAATTGGAACCCGAGTTGGAGGTGACTAGTTAGAAGTCTGTAGGCGATATGAAGGAGATTATATGAAGAGGCAATAGAAGCTTGTAGATAGTCTTGGAGCCAGTCGAGAATGATAGCAGACAACTGAGTATAAAGTGGAGATCTATCTCTAGGAATTCAAGGGGTCAATAATAATAATAATATTGTAACAATACAAAGAACTAATCATGAAATCCTCATTTTATTTAAACTAATTCGGAGACAGTCATTTTTATTTTTGTATGAACACTTCATGACACGTTGTCGTGCACTACAATATTCTCTCTCGAATTTATGCGAAACACGAAAATGTTTTACAGTATATAAGTGGAAACAATACTCTTTGAAAACATCTTTGATTGATTAAAATAAAAATAAAGTGTAATTCTGAGTTAATATCAGTAAAAAGTTTGAGCATTGTGGATTAGATCAAATAAAGTATAATTATATTTCAATAATTTACACACAATGATAAGTTTTGTTATTGGTAATATTTCGAGCAAAATTACTGCCCGTGTTCACACCACTGTTGGAATTGTAATTCTGAGCAGTAAATTGTTTTGACGGAAGTGTATATTTTGATAACCCAAAATTTAAATAAACCACTAGAGTACTGATAATCGAAAGTTATAAAAGTGTAAAATCACAAGTAAAGCCTTCAGTGTGTTCGTCCAATCCATGTAATGCGATTGAGCAACTAGTGTTCTCAAGATGTTTAATTGCATCACTGGTATAAGTGTTCCCCTTTATTATTGACTTAGTTGTTCTATAATTTCTTCTCTTGCATGTGCCAAGCTCTAAGCCTTGATAGTACAATCTAGCCGTTCAGGCTTGAATTGATGGAACAGAGCTTGAACTTACCATATTAAGGACAATAAGTCATATGTCCCGGATTGTGGTGATATTCACGCTATTATATATTTCTGTGAATTAAGGTGGAGTTAGCTTGTCTATATTTTAATGAATACAGTTGTTCAGTTCTGTATGTGCAGATGGAAATACGTAGATCGATTTCTCAACACTATTGTCCATGTTAAGTGGCAGGGCATTACTGTACACTGTACCTTACCTTTGTTTAGTATTAGATTTAACGATGCTATAAACCAGCATTTGATGCTATTTGAATCTAGAAGTAATTACGGAATGTTAGTGAAGAATTATCGAATGGAGTCGGACATTATCGTTTAACATATCTTCGAATGCAGACATACGCACTAGGGTCTGGCAGTTCCCATAGTTCTTTACCTGGCATATCCATTCGATTCTGTTGACGAAAATGGCTTTGTGACGACGGTTCATTGTTATGGGTACGTCAGGAAAGTCTATTGTGGCAGTCAAACGCTTCACTCGTACTTATGCGATAAATGACAGTCTGTAGTGGGTGTTTTTTATCATCTAAAATGATGTTAATGAGTACTGCCGTCCTGCAAGGATACCCGATGCTGATATTTTTATCTTATGTTGTTATGAATGTGCTAATGGAGACCACTATCTGACATTCTGTCTGTCTGTCTGTTTTCTGACATTGGTATCTTATATATATTAGCCTAATACTGTGAAAGCACCTGGATGATTTAGAGTATTTCTTCCTTTCCCTTCTTTCTCTGTGTGCTGCTTTCAAGTGTAGCAACTTAAAGTTTGATGCACTTATGTGAAAATTACTACGTTAATATGTTCGTTGTCAATCTGTATTTTGGTGTTTCATGTATGTAGTGATAATGACAGTTCAAAACAAAGTCTAAAAATTGCGTTTTCACTAAAGGTGACGACTGTTTTGTTATTAACCGATATACATCTACATTTAGATGATCCGCCTATCACTATCTTTCCTTTATATCGATTTACTCTTCAGTTTAATGAGAAATATATACCTTGATATGTGATATTGTTTGATACATGATAAATGAGACTCAAGGTCACATACTTTTGTTTGCTTTGAAGTACCGCATGTATGTGTGATTGAGTCACATTGTAAATACTGAGGCTAAGTACAGATTCTAGAGTAATGCGAAATAATATGTTGATTTAAAGATGGTTGGATTTACTACCATACCTAAAACTTGCTTCGCTTAATATACTAACCATTCTTTACCACATCAGTTATAAATTGGATGAATATATTATATACACCACATAATCCATAAAACTTTACTCAAAAGCTCTAAATGGCCTTTATGTGTGCAGTACCAGATAAACTGTAGAATTTTGCGTATATGCTCTGTAATAGACAAAGTAAAACATTCGAAAGATGCTTTCCCTCAACGTATATTTCTTGATGTGGTTTCTAAAAATTGGACATTTTTATTCTTCCTTATCTAGTCTTCCTGTTTAAGTTCCTTATTATTGATAGTTCTGCAAACTTCATCAAGTGGGAGACAAGCCTATCGGTGTACATCGTATGTTAATAATCGCGTTTAAATCTACCTAAATTTGATTCATTAGAACATTCTATATCAAAGGGACCAGATGGTGTTAAGAGTTATATGCACCCTATTTTGGTCACTGAGATTCACAATAATGTAAAAGTTAAATGGCGTCTGTATTCTTGTGCACTCTAAAAGGACCGAATTCATACATTAAATCGATACTAATAAACTTATTGATGACTTCATTTTCCTCCATCTGAAGGGATGAAAACCACTGGTGTCCGTCAGGGATACCTACTGTCCCTATTTTTGTTTAATTTCATCATAACTGAACCTAACTAACTTAAGCAACTTAGGGGATTGACTTGTTACCTGGGAAGTCGACCTAGAGCAGGCGGATGATATTGTATTCCTAGTAGAAGACTAATAAAATGCAGTCTTCTGAACACTATGAGCAGAAATCTGAGAATGTTTAGTATGCGATTCTGTCCTGTCATATGTAAGGTAACGCTGCAGCACTGAACTGCACATATTACGAGCTCTTGAAGATAGGGAGTGAAATGATTGAGCCTGTTGACCTCTTCAATTATTTTGGAAGTTTTATCAGTTTTAATGAACTGATTGCTGATGAAATCTCAACACAGATGCACGAGGCTAATGAAGCTTTACCAATTTCTCATTTGTGGCATAGACGTGATATCCGATTATTGAACAAAGATGGCGTATGCTTTTTAGCTGTTCACTCCGTCCTCCTTTATGGCTGTAAGACATGGTCATTGAAGGTGGGGGATATGAAGAAGATGGCTGTCTTTGACCACGTATTTGCATTCTATTTTCTGACTTAACTGGTATAATTTGTTGAGGAAGGGAAGTCAATCGATGAGGTTATGAAGCTACATATATTGAGATGGCTAGGATACCTTTGGTGCATGTCAAGTCGCCGCTTTGCTAGACGAGCAATGTCAGATGACATTGGGTTGGGTTGCAAAAAATTTAAGAATTTTCAAACCAAAACATAGAATCATTCGATGAAACTCTGACAGTTAGTATGAACCACATAGGTAGGTATAGACTGTCTAGCTAGGGTTTTAGGGATACTAGGAACCAATGGCTAGAGACTGTTGATGATATAGTTCAAAGCCATCATCAGTGGCATAGACGCATTCACTCTTTATAGTCTCCATATCTATTAAACCGTCGTGTTTTTCAGTGTTACTTACTATTCTTTCTCCCGCACATTTCTGCTTATTATAGTCCTTTAGAATCCCTTTTTTACTCTCTTTTGTACACCTTTTTGTGCTACATGAAGCGTGGTAACTTGAACTGGTGCACCTCTCGTCGAAGTTCTGTGTTGACACTCAGTTAGTCATTTTCCGCCTACTAACTCACCGTCATGCCCAAAGTAAAATCAATCCATTTAATAGTGCTAATCCAAACATTGTGTAATAAAATATTTGAATCTTTATTGTGTCCACTTTTCTAAGCTACTGAATAGAGATGATTAGATGGAAAGCAGTTCCTGTAAAGGACAAACATTCTTTGAACTTAGTCACCAGGACATACATGAAGCACACTTATTGTGTTAAGACTGATGTTACTACGTAGTTACATGGGCCTAACTAGGTGGAGGAAGAGTCAAATCTATTGGCTGAAAGTCGAATGCTTAAGCCAATGAAGCACATCTCTTCACTAAAGAAGAAATAACATCAAGGTTGTCTGCATTTTAACAGTGGTAAAGAAAAAAGAATTATTGGCTAATTAAATTAATATTTATAAGTAGCTGACAGTGTAGGAAATCTTACCATTCATAGGACGCTTGTGATATAGTATAGATTTGTAGCTCAGAGGGATGCTTTTGGTTGCTGTTGTTCTCTCTGAACCGGATGTTTTAATTGTGAAGACTTTGTTCTCCAGTAGGACAACAAAGTCTTCAGTGCTGACTTCAGTATAAAGTATTGTCTCCTTAGGTCAACGAGGGGGTTAATAACAATACATAAGGAAATCTACGGAAGCAACTAAATTACCGTGAAAATCACTACCTGTATAGAATTCCCAAGTTCATGATTACACTGTCCAGCTCAGACAACTCATCAATACCATAAGAAACAATTTTACCGACAATGTATTTCTTAATATGATGTGAAAATGTCTGTATCATTTGCATATTTTTATTTTTTGTATAATATGTGTTCATGTTTTTTACGGTCAGACTTCTATTAGGTCAGTCTGTCTCTGAATAACACTTTTATTTATTTTTTTAAAATTCGTTTTCTTCAGATGAATATGTGGCAACCTTACATCTTCCACTGTTTAACGCTCGAATCACAGAATTGACAGATGAACAAGCTCGATATTTGGGTGTGAATAAAACAGGTCCATTCAAGCCAAGCAATTACAAGTTAGTTAATAATGCCGACATATCTCCTGTTGTAATGTTTTTCTGTTTTAAACATTATTTTCTTAGCTAATAAGATCAATTGTCATACATTCAAGAGGTTTCGTTTAAGTATTTTCTTAGTCTAAATGTTCTTTTTTTTGAAAAGTTAGCCTTATCTTATGTTCTCCATAACTGGTTTAGTAGTGGGAATAACACTATATTCAATATTGAAGACACCGTCTAAGTATCTGTACCAGGAGCTGGTATGTCCTCGGAAACCTAGCATTTCGTTCCAATACAATAAACCAACGGGAATTTGAGAAGTAACTTCAAAAAATGACAGCTCACACGAGTTCCATAAGAGATAGGTCCCATGCCCTACTGGTCCCAGTACTGATGTTTTGAGTTAACTAGTTGAAAATAGAACAAAACCTGGACTCCTTGGTTTCACGGCTAGTTACCAGCAATCAATATATTTATATTTACTCGTAAATATGTTCAGAAACTATTGGTGGCAAATGGAATTACTGTTCACTCGTTTTTCTAACTGAAACTAGTCATATTTTTAACGAAGCAAATAATGTGAATCGTTACATATAATAACTATTACTCATTCCTGATAATCGTGGTGATTTCCCTTTAAATTTTATATTAAAATGTAAACAGTGCATCAAACTACTTGTTTGATAGAAATATAGGCGAGGTTAAACTTTAGACACCCAACAGGCGCGAACTCACTAATGATCCTGGGATGCTAAGTCAAACCATGGCAGTGGAACTGGGTAAGTAATACTGTAACAACAGAAGACAAGGCCAGGTAACAGATCGTTTATTAAGGAAATCAACACATGTTTACAGATTTTCATGTACATATTATAGATTATTGTCAGCAGAAAAACACAGTCCTCTGATTGGTTATTTCTCAGAGAAAGTTAACCTTGCATCTCTACAGATCATCTATAAGTTAACTGTATCCGCCTACGCAAAGCCTTTGTTCTCATTTTTCTCACGACCAATATTGGGGACATAAACATTGACGTAAATTACTGTCCACCAAATTTTGGACAACAGCCAGCTCTCATCATAATACTATATTTATGAAAAATGGTTTTAAATGATGTTTAATGACACCTGGTTAGTTTTAGGTTATGGTTAAGGAAATATTAAGTTCAGGTTTGAGCTAGGGATAGTTTGGGATTCAGACTGATTTAGAGGACCAAATTTACCTCTTAATGCAATTACTCCCTTTCCAAGGTTATTGGTGAGTTCGTACCTCTTGGGCATCTCAAGTTGACTTTTGCTAAAATGCACAGACAAATACATCAGGTTCAGTAGTAAATAGTCATCCACAAATAAAAAATCTTGTAGAACATTATACAATTGCTATTTATGTGTTGCTTAGTTCCAAATTGTCCTTATCGTTTAACTGCTTGTTCAAACTGAATTGGGCTTTAAGTCTTTTACATTTCTATCTCTCTCTCTCTCTCTTTATGTCTCTGAATTTCACTTTCAGGTACTGAAGAAGTCACTATTTCTACGTTTCAATTTTCTTCTCCATCCTCTTGATTGTCGATGCGTTAACAAATTGAGAAAATGTCTTCCCGTCTCTGTAATTTAGCTCAACTTTTGTGGCAGTTAACACAAGGAAACACGAGAATCTGTATAATTCTACTTATGATGTGTGTGTGTGTCTGTGTACGCATGCATATATCAATGTGTTTATTTATATCATATTAGTGACTAATCTCCTCTTTTTTTGTTCCTGCTGATTTTGATTTTGTTACTTTTAAGCACATTCCAGTTCATTCTGTAGCAATAAACCAGCTGTCTCGTTTGTTTGTTTGTTTTTCATTCTTTTTTCTCAGTTTCTCAGACTTTCCATATCCTACTCAAAATGGAATGGTTTAAATTGTGATTTTCTTGTGGGATTTTTCTCTTGATGATAAGTTTTACTAGAGTCTATAGTATAACTGCATTCTGGTGTGAAGTTCTTCACATCATCCGTTAAGTCTATAGTGCCTGATTATATGACTAAGCATTTTCTTCCTTATCTATTTCCTCTCTTTTTCTTTTTACTCATTAGTAGTTTTGATAAATTTAATGTGAAATGTGAAATACTACTACTTACTATTCTATGTACGTTTTCAAAATAATTATGATAAGCACTGATCATCTAATCTGTGGTAGAGAATAACAAATTGATATTAGACACAACTCTCGACTTATTGATCTTGATTATTCGATGTTAAATTTTTCTTACTATGTATGGATTCAGTTTCTGTCTATATATATATATATATATATATATATATATATATATATATATATATAGCATTAAAATATTTGCATTGTATATTTAACTAGTATGTAGACATAAACATGTTAGTTAATTGCTTGTTATATTCTTTTGCTGTAACAAAAAATAGAGTTCTTCACTATTCTGACATTCTTTATTCACATTTCAAAAAGCTCTTACATCAGCCTGTCTCTCTGGATTCAACATAGAACTTGGCACCGAAGTGCACCAGTTCGAGTTGCCACATTCCAAATAGCACACAAAGGTAGACAAGAAGATGAGTGAAGAGAATCAATAGAGTTTGACAAGTATAAGAGTGAAACAGAATGGGTAATGGTAGAAAAGAATATGAAAGATTACAGAGACTGATACATCTGCGCCATTGACAACGATTTTGAGCCATGTCACATATTGTCTCCATCCATTGATTCCTAGAGTCCCGAGGGCCCCAACCTAGAAGTCTGCATCTCCCTACCTGACTCAGTTTAACTGTCAAGGATTTCATGGATTGATGAGCCATGTTTTTGTTTGGCTACCACTTACTCTTTTCCAACCTGCACCTATATCAGCTAGTAATGCCTGTCGGGGGAGGCGATGGTTAGGCATGCGCAGCACGTGACCTAACCATCTCAATCTATGTAACTTTATAGCCTCGTCGATTGATTTTTCCCTTTACCCAACACTCTACGCCTAACGTCAACATTACTTACCTTATTAAACCACCTAACGTGAGAAAGAGATCGCAAACATCTGTGATCGAAAGCAGTCAACCTTTTCATGTCTTCAACTCGTATTGGCCGTGTTTCAGAGCCATAGAGAAGGACGGAGCGAACTGCTGAGCTAACATCAGTTAGATACTGCTAGTACAGACGATGAAAAAGGGCACCGCTAGTCAGTTGTAAACTAAAATCTTTTAAGTGATACACTTTAATAACAGGTAACAGTGTCCTTGTGCCGCTGTCTCTCTCTCTCTTTCTCCCCCTAGATTGCTTTTCACTGTCGGGATTCTTATTACATATTGTCTAATCTTGTTTTCTTTTCTTTCTGTTAGTGTGTCATAAATTATAATATTGGTAGATTAGGAATTTAGCAGTCTACACACCTTCATTATTTAACCTAATTTATAAATTATTCTGTCTAGTAATTGTTTTTCTTACTCCCGTTTGTTGGGTTGACAGTGATTAAAAAGTTGGATGCTGGTTAAAAGTGATGACAAGTGTGGCCCATCAAGCTGGGTATATAAAAACATCGACTCGCATTTGCGCTACATTATATATTTCTATATATAGAGGTCGTAAATTGGCAGAAGTTAGGATTTATGCGCCATTGGATACTATCCCAGAAACTGAATAGTAATATGTTCACCAATTAACCTTATCGGCCTGCTTCAATCGTGTGCTATCAGAAAAACCCTCCATCATTATGTTGCATCTAATTTCTCATGTTCACTTACTAAACTATGGTCTCTAGTTGCATTGTTTGTTTTGGCGAATATTTAAAATGTTTGAAACTTGCTAATTTGAAAAAAGGCATCACTCTGGTTGACAGTGTACATTAATACGTATTTCAACACACCAAATGACTGTTCCTGAGATTACGAGTACAAACTGTCAATCTCTGTCTAATGAGATTAACTTCCTGCAATCTCTCATGTCTTTCAGTGCATATCCTAATGCACGGATGGTGACCCTTCAAGGAACCCGGCCAAATGGATGGTGTAGTTGTAAGAAGAAATGTGGTGGTGGCGTTGCAATCTTTATCAATTCTCAATGGTCTACTTCCGATAATCCATATATTAAATTCTTAGGCGACGTGATCGATTGCATTAGTGTTAACTATCAACCGAAATACCTGTCTAAGTTCACCTACATTTAAATTTTGAACATGTATATCGCACCTACCTTTAGTCTTTCAGAATTGTCCTCATTTGCTGATGAATTCACCTTCTTTGCTGCCACTTCCTTTGGCAACCGTTGGTCGGTAGTTTCTGGAGATTTAAGTTCATGTGACTTTGGTTTCCTTACATCACTGTCAACTTCTGATTTCGACTAGGTAACACTCTTTATTTAATGTTCGAAAATGGTTTCGGGACACATGAATTACGGAAAACTACTAAATTTAGATGGTCGTGTTATACGAATATTGTCAAAATATATGGAAATCAACAAAAAAGGGCTCACCTCTGCAGGAAACCTCAGCATAGATGTTACTCTCAGAAGAACATACAGAAATTTAGAAGCGTATTAAAAGATTCAAACCGGGACATATTTGCTGAACAAGTTCTAGAGGACATCGCAAATACAACATGCTGTTGTCACGTGTTGGTTTGCAGGGACTTGGTTGGTTACAAGATTGATCATGAGCTGACATCAGTTAGAGAGCCATTGGATAACTAGCAGTGCGCACCCACTAGGGGTTCGAAACTGAACTTGTAGTCGGGTGGGTGCTTACTAATGAAGAGTCCCAAACTAGGACGAAACGACTGTCCAGTATCCACAGATTTTCCAATGGTTATCTGACTGATGTCAGCTTGTGATCAATCTTTTAACGCGTTATGGCAACAATAAAGAATAGATGCCCAGCCAATTACATCCTTCTGGGTAACAGGTGGCATTTATAGTATACAAAATTATATTGGAAGTAAAAATATGTATATATATACCTATAATAAAGACGGGTTAAGTAGAGTATACGTCTCTAGTAGGCTTCAAAACAGGGTTCCAGTTCTTCATAGGAGTGGTTATAGACATATATCATTATAATTTGTTATTTAAATATACCCAAAATCCTTTTTTAAAATTTGTATGAGTAGCAGCGATAGAATCAGCTAATGAATGATTGGCTTTGTGATGAATATAATCTAATGATGATAGTCGCATCTCAGCACTTCAAATAGATACTGTCCACAATCACCTTAACCCCTGAATTACGGTAAATCCTGTACATAGATTATGAAACACTCAGTTGCAATGTTCGGTGATCTGATTGGTTCCTTCAAGGTCATTCAGCTGTAGTATTTGTTCTTTTCCCTGTAGATTCATTTTGAAAGTTCAACGATTTTAATGGTGATTGCCGTTTGACCACGAAACTTTCAGGGTAATTATAAATTCTATAGCCGATTTGGTCTAAACCTATTATTAGTAACCAGCTGCTGTGAAGAACTTTAAATAACAGTTAATATATTAAACATTCCTATAGTAAAATTTAGAACAACACATCTAAGCGAACAATATTGTTTTCAATTAGATCTCATCAGGCTTAACTCTAATATATATAAGTTTACAAATAAAAATTCAAATATAAACCAATCATGGTGTTTTGTCTATAGGATAATACGATGGTGAATATAAATTGTGCAGTTAGTCATAATACTGGTAATGATAATATTATAATAATAATAATAATAATAATAATAATAATAATAATGGCCTTATCAATAATAAGGATGAAAAAATGAGGCAATCTGTGATAACACGAGTAATGAAAAACAGTATGATTAAACAAACAATTGTTCAGGTGGAAGTAGTCGATAAAGGCTAGTAAAAACAAATGAACCGATTACGGAATGTTAGATTGTAGGGGAAGGAAATGAAACACGTTTATAATGAATATAAGATAAGATTAAGGGATGATAACAAAGGGGTTGGAAATATAAATAAAGGGTGGTGTAGAAGTCTTTCGTTGGTTATGTCTTATTAGGCCACGGGAGGGATAATGGCTGCACGAACTTCTTTTGAATGCATAGTTTAGGTTTAATAGTTCGAATGCCTATCGCCTCAGCTGTGTGCAGTAGACGAATACGAAGTCTATTAGAAAGATTCGGAGGGATACGATGAATTACTTTGAAGGCTTTTGTTTTTATCGACTACATGACCACTATCAATTAGATGTGACAGAATTGAGCTACGGATTGTTTCCTTGATGGAGATGGTTTTGCGAGTAGTTTCATAAAGAAACATTTGAAACCATCAGAGAAGAAACCTGTGACTCTGACTGCTCATAAAAACTTCTATTTATTAAGTTACAATTTAATGGGGACTTATCTAGTGAGATTCTATTCCAAAGACTTTCAAGGAGCATACGTAGAACATTTTACGCAGCACACCTATGTTTGTCATTTTCTAGCCGACGAATGATTAGGACGCAAACGAAGGATAAGCTTGATAGTTTTGCCACATCTATGTGTATTTATCAATTCAACTGCACCTGCGGTGACAGTTATATTGGGCGTACTACTAGACAGCTTAGCCAACATGTTAGTGAACATCTCCCATCGTGGTTTGGCAAAGGACAGACAAAAACAATCCGTAGCTCAATTCTGTCACATCTAATTGATAGTGGTCATGTTGTCGATAAAACAAAAGCCTTCAAAGTAATTCATCGTATCCCTCCGAATCTTTCTAATAGACTTCGTATTCGTCTACTGCACACAGCTGAGGCGATAGGCATTCGAACTATTAAACCTAAACTATGCATTCAAAAGAAGTTCGTGCAGCCATTATACCTCCCGTGGCCTAATAAGACATAACCAACGAAAGACTTCTACACCACCCTTTATTTATATTTCCAACCCCTTTGTTATCATCCCTTAATCTTATCTTATATTCATTATAAACGTGTTTCATTTCCTTCCCCTACAATCTAACATTCCGTAATCGGTTCATTTGTTTTTACTAGCCTTTATCGACTACTTCCACCTGAACAATTGTTTGTTTAATCATACTGTTTTTCATTACTCGTGTTATCACAGATTGCCTCATTTTCTCATCCTTATTATTGATAAGGCCATTATTATTACTATTATTAATATTATCATTACCAGTATTATGACTAACTGCACAATTTATATTCACCATCGTATTATCCTATAGACAAAACACCATGATTGGTTTATATTTGAATTTTTATTTGTAAACTTATATATATTAGAGTTAAGCCTGATGAGATCTAATTGAAAACAATATTGTTCGCTTAAATGTGTTGTTCTAAACAGTTAATATGACTGAAATT